CAGCTTCTGTTGATCAAAATTTCTGTGATATCCTGCCTCCATCGAGGTAGCTACGCCTGATAGTCCCTTAAATACAAACAACACACCTACACATTCAGAGAACAGAAAAAGCAAAAAAACCCCAAACAGAAAAATAGTGCTGTGGATAAATATATCAAGCAACTGAGTACTTTTGGTGGTGTTTTATACCAGTGGTGGTATTTTTCCTTAATTTTGGCTGTGTGGTTTTTTTTTTTTTTTCCATTTGCAGTTACTATGTGAATGGACGAAGTGCAACAAGGGAGGATTTCTTGAGCCCTGAAGTGCTGGATACCTTTGCCACGGCTATACACGAAGTTCTGGAGGTGCCTTGTCCTGTTCAGTAATTCCCATTTTCAGGGGGTTGTCCTGATCCGGTGTCGGGGGAGGTTTCTATGATCCCAAGCGTGAGATTAAGACACAAGCGAGGTCAAATGCCGTATACCCAAACCAGGTTTTTATTATTAAAAAAGTGAAGAGGGGTGGCGGCAGTCGTACGACATTTCAGTCTCTCACAGGGGTTAGCAGAGAATCCTGAATGAAGTGCAATTTTGCACTAGCAGTCAACGGGGATCCTCAAAGCTTGGGTGCTGCTGTCATTGTAAATTTTAAAAATATATATAAATTAACAATGCTACTAATAAATAAGCTCCAACAGTCTGCTGTGTAGCAAGCATGGTGCCAGATACATCACTAACGTCCCGCTCTCTCATTTGTCAATGTAGCCATTACTCAGGGATGCAATTTATGGTCGTACTCCCTACCCTGATTTCTTTGTACTGTGAGATTCTGAGAACAGTACCACTCGGAGTACACCACTACTCAGCATGAGGACGCTTACAGGACCTCGCTTTTAGTGATGTGTGTCTCGTTCTACGTGGAACATAGGTGTGATTTTTGGACAGGGGAGGAAGTAAATCTGCTTCTAGTCCTTTTGATCAAAATTTCTGTGACAGCCCACCTCAGCTGATGTAATCCCTTAAATGCAAATGTCATACGTAGGCATTTGGCTCAAGAGCAAGATTTTGATTGCCCATTGTTTCAGTGGCCAAAAAACTTAACTGCTCGCTCTTTCTCTTCCTCCCTACACCACACTGGCCAGATCGTTGGTGGGACCGTGCCTGACAAGAAGGTCTGGCTGGGAGAGACCAGCTCTGCCTATGGAGGGGGAGCTCCCAGGCTGTCCAACACTTACGTTGCTGGCTTTATGTGAGTACCGTGTCACAGCCGTGAGGAAATGTCATGTTTTTCCAGCTGAAGGGGGTTGTGTACGTGCCCCATGGGAGGAATACCCCCCTCAGGCTTCCTGGGGAGCTCGGGTGACTGGGTGGGTTGAGGATTGTAACCTTCCCACTGCTCCCCGGGTGCTTCCCCATGCCCAGGGTTCAGCGTAATCCCAGGTACGAGCAGATGCTGATAGGAAATGGGGGTTGAGAAGCGTGAGGAAGTTGTATTTCTGCCCTTGAATCTGCAGTGCTGACCCTGTCCTTTGGGGAGGATGGAGAGTCATTCACGAGTCCATTTCCTTGACCACCAGGGAATAACTAACCAAAGGGAAATTTGGCCATGAAAATAGTTTTCTCTAAGGACGCCAGTTGTAGCATTTTGCTGAAATGAAAGAATTGAGGCTTTTCTTAGCACTTTCATCAGTTAGTAGGTTCAGGAAGATAAAATTGCATGGGAACGTGTGGTTCACACTTTGAAACTTAACCAGAAACATGGTTGCAATGGGGGGATTTTTTTGCCCTCCTATAAGGCAGGATGGCCTCTTTCATCAGGGCCTGGTGGGTCAGCAAGTCAGAGCCTGGTAACGAGAGGCAGCCTTGCTGCCGTGATGGTTTCTCTCAGCCTGCAGACTCTTGGCCAGTTGAGGAGCAATTGCTACCCCTCCTGGCTTCCACCGCCTGCAAACAGGGGAGTGGAGCAACTGTTCCCACCAGCTCAGACCTCTGGAGGTGGTCTGAAATTATTTTTTTTTTTTAAGGTAATCGATGCAAGACAAACTGAAATCAGTTGTGTGGTTTTTAAGGCAGTCAGCATCATGCCCTAATTCTTGCTTTCCTACTTCCTGAGCTGGTTGGAGGGGAGCAGTGGTGTACTGCTGAGGTCAGCAATTTCACCTGCACCTTGTTTGCTTTGTTTTGTTTTGGTTTTTTGGCAGGTGGTTGGACAAACTAGGGCTTTCAGCCAGGCAGGGGATTGACGTGGTGATGAGACAGGTTTTCTTCGGGGCAGGGACCTATCACCTGGTGGATGCCAACTTTGAGCCTTTGCCGGTACGTGTGAGACCCTGCTAACGCCGTCTGAACGCTGCGCAGACTTCAGCGCTGGCTGTGGAGATACAACCCAGCTCTTCCAACCACACAAGCAAGAGACAGATTTTGAGGGATGGTCGCAGTTATCCTTGCACCTTGCTCATGTTTCAGTAGGAGTTCGTGTGTTACATATAGATAGATCGAAGATATTTCCTGCAGCTGCAGTCTGCAGTACAGCAGAGACTGCTTTCTGGGACGTGGTGCTCTGGTCTGTGTGTAGACGCTTCTGGAGTTCCACAAGGCTTTTCTGGATGGAGTGTTTTGGTTTGAGTGTTCCTCAGCTGTGTGATGTGTAGCTTTTAAGCAGAAGGGATAGGCAGTATTAGAATAAATTACATCTCAAGTGAAAACCAAACCAGCGGGAGGTCAAGACTCAAGCATTTCGTAGTTCCTGAGCATTTTTAGCTTTCATTAGTGGCTGAAGGATAACTAAATGAAAATACGCATTTAGGATTAAGAAATAACATTCTGCTATGATGAAACATCATTATTTGAACTATACCTTATTCTGGCAGGTACAGCATGTTTCTGTGTGCTAGGAGCACTTACCTTGGGATGAGAGGGAATCTTTCTTTTTAGCCTTTCCTTCATTTTTCTGCTTCTAAGTTGTGATTTTCAGAGGCTCACAGACACCATCTGAGAGGAAACACAGCATATGGGGTTTTTCTGTCCTGCCTGTTCAGCTGGTCCCTATGCCGGGGGCTGCGTTGTCAGCCTTGTTGCTTTGAGCTATTTATTCCTTCATTTAAAATAGATTTCATTTGGACTGAAAGGATGTGCTTTGTTCTTCGCCTACAGGCAGTATGGATGCTAATCAAGAAAATAAAGCTTTAGAGGCAGGGAAATCCAAACCCCGGTCCATCAGTTTTAGTTAGCATGGAGATGAAGAAGCATGGAAGCCTCCTTGCAGAGGGGCTGAGCATGAAGGCTGAGGGGAAAAGTCCCTTCCCTTCGCTTGTGGTGAGTCAGGAGAGAAACGCCACAGTTTTTCTTCTAGGAAAACATCAAAGACAGACAGATAAATAGGGAGCAGCTTTCAGCACCTGCCAGCTGGAGCACATCATCCCCCTGGGGAGGGAAAATGCGCCCTGCCTGCAGCCTCCTAGTCCCAGAACACATTTGCACAGACCATGCACTCTCTTGGGTACAGTCGTGGAACTTCATAAAGGAACAGCAGCAGTCAAGATACAGGAAAAAGCAGGAAAAAATGAGTCTGCACTGAGCATCACCTGCTCTCAGGCATCGCCCTGAGGCATCATGTCAGAGGATTTACTCTCGACTGGCATTCCGAAATTAATCCTGAAACCTGTTCAAAATCCAGATGTTAGTGAAAGGTGAAACAAAGACATTCACTCAACAGTCAGAATCCAATAGAACTGTCAAGCAGGAATTCTTCATTAGCAGCGCTGGGGATTCTCCACCAGCCGGGCTCCCCGCACTAGCAAGGGACACCACTTCACACACACACAAATCATCCATCTGCCTTAGGTTCCCTGCAGAGGGGCGTCTCAGGATAAGGAGCTCCCGGAATTCATCTACCTAGTCCCAGTCAGGCTGAGGCCATCCTCCATAGATGGTATCTCAGTGTCCTTTTGTTCAAGTTCCCCTTATCTTGGTTTGCCCAAGTGCCCACTGAGGGCTCTGACAAAGAGGGAGTGTTCTACTTTTGTCCAGACAGACAAAGAAACCTGGGGAAAACAGCTGAGGAGTCACTGGGAAACAAACACAAGGAAAACTTTCATGCATCACAGTTTACTCTTAATCAGAAATTCGTTGGTTTGAGCCCTTTCAAAGGCATTAAAGGCAACAGGGGTGGGGGG